AATATCCAGATAAAAACTTTGGCTGACCACTTGATCTGGAGGAACAAATTCTGAATATAGTATAAGGAGCCAGGCCTCCAAAAGACAATTCAGTTTTTTGGGGGAGAGTCACTCCTCATATCTGACAAGGAGTTAATATCCAGAATATACTTCTTATAGTTCTACTTTTACAACTCAACAAAAAGAAAATAACCTAATTAAAAATGGGCAAAGAACTCGAATAGGCATTTCTTCAAAGAAAATAAATAGCTGACAAGAATCATAAATCTGGGGAATTGAGGACCAACTAGAGGCCCAAACCTCACCTGCACATACATTGCTTATTTACCCAATCCTGGTCTGTACGCCACATCTTATAATAAAATAAAGTAAAAAATAAGCAAATAAATAATATGAAAATATACTCAACATCACTCACTAATCACCAGTGAAAGGCAAATCAGAACCACAGTGAGATATCACCTCACACATTAATGGCTACTCTCAAAAAAACAAAATAAGTGTTTATGAGGATGTGGAGAAACAGGAATCCTTGTTCACTGTTGGTGAGAATGCAAATTGGTGCAGTCATAATGAAAAACAGTATGCAAGGTCCTAAAAAGTTAAAATAAAAGTGACCATACGATCTAATAATTTCACTTCTGGGCAGATATCCAAAATAATTCAAAATAGAGATATTTGTACACACAAGTTCCACACCAGCACTATTCACAGAGTCAAGAGGTTGGAGCAACTCAAGTATCCACTGAAGGATGAATGTAAAAACAAAATGTGATCTATACATGCAATGGCATATTATTCAGCCTTAAAAAGGAAGGAACTTCTGACATATGCTACACCATGGATGAATCTTAAGGACATTACACTAAGTAAAATAAGCTAGTCACAAGAAGTCAAATACTGCAAAGTTTCCACTTATATGAGGTGTCGAGAGTTTTCAGACTCACAAAGACAAAAAGTAGAAAGTGGGTTGTCACGAGCTAGTGGGAGAGGGAAATGGAGAGTTGCTGTTTAATGAGTAGAGTTGCAGTTTTGCACAATTAAGGTTCTGAAGACTGATTGTTCCACAACGCGAATATATAAATCTTACTGAATGGAACACTTAGAAATGGTTAAAATGATACATTTTATGTTATATACTTCCTACTACAATTAAATTGTGTAAATGTTTAAAGTACATACAAAAAAATCAGAATTATATAAAATACGTGTACCTTTGTAAAAATAAAACCTACACCCCAAACATTGACAGTATAGCAAGTATGGCAAGTATGGAGTTTTCCATAATTTTATTTTTTTACTGTGATTTTCAAAATTTTCTAAGATGAAAATATACATATTGAGATATTGCTTATTTGTATGATATGAGTAAGAAATTGCATTACTTTGTAAAGATATGTAAATAAAGAATAAATCAAACTTATCTCTATATATTTTTTACCCTAGATAGTAGCATTACTCAAAATGTTGTTGTTTTATATTTTGGGTTATCTATTTTTTTATAAAAATAATATATAACCTGTGAAATATTATGTTATTTGACATTTTACTTTAACAAGTGGAATATGTTCATCAATTTATTTTTACCCTTCATGCGTTATTGAATTTTTTAAGGAAACTAAAGATCCTTTTCCTAACCTCTGAAAATTTATAGCCTCAATAATACTTTGTAACAATTAAATCACAGAAAATAGACATTATTTATTTTTAATTTTTAGTCTCACAAAGCTAATTTTTTGATACTGAAATTTTGGGGAAATGTTTGCTGAGCTAGTGTACTAAAAGTGTGTCAAGCTAAGCTAGTGTGTTAAAAGTGTGTCAAGGCATAAAATTGACTTTACCAGTCACTGAGCTCTCCAATGGGGTGGGGAAGAGACAAACGTTTTTGCAGGTGCCTGGTAGTTGGTGGATGTGACACCAAGTGTCATGGACCTGGAAGGCAGTTTCAAATATAATGGGGCGACATCACAGTAGAGATTGATTTGATCCTGCGTTCCTGCAACCAAAAGGAAAAGAGTAGTCCCAGAAGATGTCATCACTTTAGCATGGTCTTACTCAGGGACTATATAGAATTGTGTCCCATGTCACACAATGCTAATGATCACAGACTAGAAAACAAGCCTAAAAACTCCATTAAAGCAACCAAGACATCTCATGAAGCCATATAGAGCCTGGGCGGTCATCTTAGTCAGCTTAGGTTGCCATAGCAAAATATCATAGACTGAATGACTTAAACAATAGAAATGTATTTTCTCACAGTTCTAGAGGCTGGAAAGTCAGAGACAAATGCCTGGCAGTGTTCAGTTTCTGGTGAGGTCTCTCTCCTCCTGGCTTACAAAGTCACTTTCTCACTGTGTCCTCACATGGCAGAGAGAGAGAGAGATACCTGGTGTCTCTTCGTCTTCTTGGAAGGGCACTCCACCCACCATGGGTACTCTAAACATTTGTTCATCTAAACCTAATCACCTCCCAAATACCTTTAAATGCCATTGCACTGGGGATTAGGGCTTCAACATATGGATTTCGAGAGCACGCAAACATTAATTTATAACAGCAGCCTGGACTGAATAGAGAGAAAAGAGGGAAAAAAGAAGATTCTGAGTTGACTCCATTTGCCACAAATGAAGTTTACCCAAAGTAAACCAAGACGTTTTCTGCTATCATGAGGAATGAAGTTCAGAACAAGAATTGGGCTATAAAAAAGAAAATCATATCTTACGCTCCTTAATACATAGAGTGATGAATTCACACCTGATATAAATTCATTTGTGAACATATTTCCAAGTGAAAAACTACATAGTAAGCAGTAAAAGTTGTACACCTCAGTCTTAGTGTGGTATCGTGCTCAGCTCAATATGTTTTAAGAAGCATTAAAGAGCAATTTAGTTTTACACCCAAACAACCTATGCCAATTATAAAATAATAATATATGTGAAAATAAAAATACAAAAGAACTTTGTAATTTCAGATAAATATAATTGCTAATATCAGAGTAGGGAAGTCATTTTATCAACACAAAATCTAAAAATCACAAAAGAATGATGTCTGACAACATGAAATTGCAAAAAATGCAAAAGCATTTCTTAGTTCTGTTTCCTAAAATATCTTACAGCTAATTACCTCTCAGTATAAGAGGATACCTGCTATTCAGATTTTATTTTCAAAATACTTTTTTTCACTAAAAGGAATCAAGCTTCTTGAGGGCTTTTACCAGGAAGGTATATCTGAATCCTCTAAAGTACATTTACAAAATACTCTCACTTGTTCTGTATCCCTGGAATAGTAATTTTCAACCTGGCAGCATATTACTATTTTCATCTGGAGAGGAGTTATGAAGTGTCTCAATATCTAGTCTATACCATGGACCCATTATTAAATCTGAATTTGTGGAGGCAGGAGCCAGACATCAGTAGGAGACCGGAGGTAAAGCTCAAATACTACTGGTTCACATACTTACCCTTCAATTTTTATGCATTCACAGTTAAGAACTACCAGTAGGTTTTGAGATCACAGTTTTATACTCCTTACAATCTGTTTGAAGAAACATGCTTCAAAGAAAATTCTGTTCTTGAATCCTAACATATAACTATATTTTTCAGACTTTGGGCCAAAGCAAGATCTTCCATGGTATCAATTAATGATAAGGAAAAAAATCTCTATTTAGACATATCCACACTCATTGCTATTTCTTTCAGAAATTTACTGGAGCTTTAATCTGTGGGAACAGAAAGCAGTTTCGAATTTCCAAAGCTTTGCTAAATAGGTTTTAGAAAAAGAGTTGTTTCTTCATTTCCAGCCAGAATTTTTATTTCCACAGTTTTAAAGTTAGGAGTGCAGATGGGCAGCAGTAGAATCATCTGGGAAACTTGTTAGTATGCCGTTTCCTAGGCCCCATCCCGAGTCAGATTGAGTAGGGTTGTGGGTGATCTTTGGAATCGGTAGTTTTAACAAACCACCAGGTGATTCTGATGCCTTCACCACATGCGTAGGCACATTCCAAAGAAACCTGAGAGAAAGCTTCAAGAATTCTGATTGCCTCAAACCCTCAGAAGTACAAGTAGAAAAGATCCAGGGTTTCATTTTCATAGCATTCACAAAGATCGTAGAAATGAATTAATCCTACCATCTAATGCCTGAAGAAATATTACACAGCCAGTGCTTATTTGTCACACAAATTCCTCCCATCAAATCTTTTGGTAAAATTAGTTGTGTCATCATTTTTGTGCATCCATTAGCAGTATCCTTTTTTGTAGATTTTTAACAGCGGTCACGGGAACATCAACACGCATCTTGTGTAGGAACTAAACACTGGAAACACACAAGCATCAAGATGAGAACACACACTAGGAATTCCTAAGGGGCAAGGAGGGGAGGGGAGCAAGAGTCAAAAAACTACCTACAAGTTACGATGCTCATTATTTGGGTAATAGTTTCCATAGAAACCCAAGCCTCTAGTTATGCAGTATAGCTATGTAACTAACCTGCACATGTGCCCCCTGAAGTTAAAATAAAAATGACAGAAAAAATCATGATATTAATTTTGTTAAATATATATTATATATTTACAAAAAATACATCTTGTGGGTATCTTAAGATGCTTTCATTCCCTTAAGATTAGTCCCATGGTTATATTAGCCAACTTTGTAATTCCCAGTTGAATATATTCAGTGCCATAAAGCAGATTTTAAAAAAATGTTTAGAATCAAACTTTTCCTAGATAAGTTGTTAACCAATATATATGATCTCATCAGTCAGAATTTCTTCATAATTACTCTAAGTTTGTCAACATTTTGAACCAAGAATCCATTAGAGGGTTTGATAAGAACCTTGGAATTCTCCTACAAATTGAATACATTTAAATGAAATAACAGTTTTTAGATATTTTGGGGGAATCTGTGAACATCCCCTAAAAACCACAGTTTTTAGTTTACAAAGTTCTGATTGGAGACATGTAATATCTATACCAATGTATAATATAAGGGCCTTTATATGTTTTCCAGGCATCTGCACAAGAATGAAATTCATGCACTGGATAAGCAAACACTTAAAGGACTCGTATCTCTGGAACAGTTGTAAGTAATAGAAACTTTTTTATTGACTCACCAATGGTTACAGTTCAAATAGAAGCCTTTTAAAATGCCATTATGTGATAGTTGTACAATTATTTTAAGTTATGTCATGTGACTTGAATGATTGAATATTCTGTCATCAGTTGGACAAAGATCAGAATGCGTGATCAAGTTGGCATGAGGACAAGAAGACAGACAGACCCCTGCTGGAGTTCCACCCTGCATTTATTAGTTGTTTGACATTGAGCAAGTTATTTTTCATGAGCCTCTGGGTTCCTTATAAAAGGGTGAATTCAGACTTCTCTTGTTCTCCCTTGCCTTCCCTTTGCCTTTCTGCCATGGGATGGCAGAGAGGAAGGAACTTGAAAGATGCTGGGCCCCCCATTTTGGACTTCCCAACTTCCCAAATTGAAGCAATAGATTTTACTTATGTGCCTTAGGCATATCTCAATTTAATTTATAAGCAATATATTACAAATTTCTTAGTCTGGAATATTTGTTATAGCAGCCCAAAGCAAACTAAGGCAGAGAATTGGTCCCAGGGAATGAGGTACAATGGTAACAAATACCTGAAAATTTGGAAGTGGCTTTCATCTTGGATAATGGGTAGAGGTTGGAAAAATTTGGAGGAGCAGCCTAAGAAAAAGTGTGTATTGTTATAAACAGAGTATTAAGGGTGATTATGCTGAAGGTTTAGAAGAAGAGAGCTTTAGGGAAAGTCTGAAACTTCTTAGCAGCTATTTAAGTGGTTGTGATCAGAATGCTTGTGGAAATATGAACAGGAAAAGCAATTCTGCTGAACTGAAAAACAAGGAAATGGAAACTGGATACCTTTGTTGTAAAGTGACAAAGTGTTGGGAGCCAGCCAGGGAGGCCTGCCTGCTGACAAAGTCCAGGGGGCTAAAGACCCTGGGTTGCAAAGCAAACCTGGGCAGCTGAGACCCTTGCTTCTTCTACTTTTGTTATTAGTGCAGTTGAAAAGTTCTGTACAGCCGAGGATGGAAAGTAAAATTCCACTCATGCCTCCACTACCCCTTACAAAAAGGCAAGAGGGGAATTCATGAAAAAATACCTTCCCTTCATTTGAATTCCTCCCTAGGTTTCCACATCCCTGGCCTCCTGGTATTAAACCATACAATCACTTGATTAAACATTGTTGTTGGGAAAATTGTAAAAAATCAGAAAGTGCTCGATTTAATGTTTGTCAGGGAACTCACTGGCCTTGCCAGGAAATTATCAATAGAGATTTTAAATATCATGTGCAGGTAGATAATTGCTTGTAAGATTTTATTTCTTCGGATTGGTGACTAATTGGAGAAATTTGAGAAGCTACAGTTTGTATTTTTAGGAAGAGTGCCAATGCAAAAATTACATGTACTTAATTTCTTAATTTCTACATGTGGCATATTATGCTTAAAAAATTTACAATCACATAAATATTAGAGCACCCTTGCCTTTACTTCCCTTTGTTAAGGAGGCTTGTAATTTGGGTTAGGGATTTTGACTAAGGTGACTTGAGCCCGAGAGAGGCCTTTTGTTTTGCAAATGTTGAAGCTCATTTTCCCTGGCAGGGGATAATTGATACAGATTGTAAACTCCATGTGTAATATTGTGAAGAACTAATCAGGCCAATTTGTGGCTAAGAAACCTTGAAAATGTTGTTTTACCCCAGCTAGTTGAAAATTGCTGTGTGGAGGTCACAGGTGTGACTTTTTAATCTATGCAATAATTATAGTGCTTAGAACTTGGTAGTGATTTATAATGTAATAGTTATAGAAATAAGTAAGTTTTTTATGGACATTAAGAAATGGTAATCATTAGAAAATATTAGGTGTTTATAAGATTTATAGTTAATGTTTAGGATGATAATGTTTTAAGATCAAAACAGAATGAACAAGGATACATTGCCTGTCTGGTCCATTAAATTGTAACTGATTGCCTTGAAAACAAAAAACATGTACGCCGATGCCGTCCCTCTTTCAGGAAACCCTGACCTGCTGGAGCTGGACTGCGGCAACAGAGAACTTGGTTGAACTTGTGTCCACACCTGAAGACTTTATGAAAGGCAGAATTTAAAAGAATAAAGTAGGACATCTTGTGGAAGAAATTTACAAACAAAATGTTGAAGGGGCTGCGTGGCCTCTTGTGACTACATACAGTAAGAGGTGAAAAGATAAATGATATAAAATCAAAATTCATAGTTGAAATGGAAGCAGAATATTAAAATTTGGAAATTAATGGGCTGAACATATAAAAAACAGAAAATTATACAAGACAGAGGTCATGCAATTCTTTGATAAACTAGCATGGATAGAACAAAGTTAAGTGCTATTCATTAAGACAATAAAGGAATGATGCCAGATCATTTTAGAGATATTTGAGGCAGCCTCAAGACAGCAGCCAGGACACACAGGGAAGTCAGCATTTGCTGTCCACCCAGCACTGCCTCAAGTCTGTGTTCCCGCATTGCAGCACGCTGTGCTTGGCCCCTCAGCCATGGCTCAAGTGGTTCAGCTTATGCTGCTGCTTTGAGGCAAGTAAGTAGTAAGTCTTGGTCATGGATTTACATTTCACTGTGTATTTATAAGCCCTACACAATAAGTCTTTAAACTCAATGATAAGAAACATCTTTTTTCTTTTTCTTTCTTTCTTTCTTTCTTTCTTTCTTTCTTTCTTTCTTTCTTTCTTTCTTTCTTTCTTTCTTCTTTCGTTCTTTCTTTCTTTTTTCTTTCTTTCTTTTGTCTCTCTCTCTCTCTCTCTCTCTCTCTCTCTCTCTCTCTCTCTCTCTTTCTTTCATGTGGGGCACAATTCAGGATTAGGCATACAAGTGGACATCATACAGGTAAAGTTTGGACCTCCTTTTGGTCCCCACTTTGCCTGGTTTGAGATAAATACCCTTATTGATGTTGTGTTTCCCTCTGCCCATCCATCCTGGCAGTATCCCACTATTGCCAATCTCTTTCAGGGAACATCTTTAAAAAGGATATTTTTTTACATTTGCTTACAGAGTGTGGTAAACGGTTCAATTCACTGTAATAAAATAGCTCTCAATGCATCTTTCAAGTAACATATTGAGATTTATGTTTTAAATGTGTATATGAAACTTATTAAATCAGGTATTAAACTCAGTGTTTTTAAAGAAACATCTTCATATTGACTTTGCAGCAACTTGGTTGGATTTAGAGTTGATCATATTCGGTGATCTATCACAGAAACAAAGTACAGAGTACCATATGTTCTCACTCATGGGCAGACCTTGGACAATTATCACATTACTATAAGAAAGGGATTGGCAGTAGTGGGAAACTGCCAGGGGAGGGAGGGGCACCCCTCATCAACAAGGGTACCTGCATAATGAACATTTGTATACCTAACCTTGAATTGTACTCCACATCTTTATCATAATAATAAAAAGAAAAAATAAAGAAACATCTTTAAAAAGAAAATTTTACACACTTTTGAAAGAGTTTACAGAATGGTATTCAGTTCAATTCACTGTAATAAAACAGCTCCCAAGGCAACTTGGAAGTAATATGCTGAGATTTATTTATAAATTGCATATGTAAACTCTTCATTATGGCTTTGAAGACAGTGTTAAGGGATATCTTTGAAAAGCATATCTTAAACATGTGGTTAAAAAGTTCAGTTTGCTAAACAGTTCAACTCATGTTAATAAAGTGCCTCACAGTGCATCTTTGAAGTAACATATACACATTTATGCTTTCAATGTATATATAGATATAGTTTCTCACAATAAGGCAATGAATTAAATGGTAAGAACATCTTTTAAAAGCATATTGTATACACTTGTTCACAGAGTTCACAGTTCGAAAACCAGTTCAACTCACTGTAAGAAAGCAGCTCACAATGCATCTTTAAAGTAACACACTCGTTTCATGTTTTCATCGTATACAGAGGGTGCCAAAAAATGTATACACATTTTAAGAAAGAAAAGAAAACCTACAATTAAAATTGTAATACTCAATATATACCAGTAATAAAAGATGAATACAGGTCACGTTTGACTTCTGCAATTATAAGAGGTGCTCAATGCAGTTACCATCAGCATCTAGATGCTTCTGATTATGGTGAATGACAGCAGGATTTGTTTCTGTGTGAGTTCTCCCAGATCCTCCACTGTGTGCATCACATGCAGTACCATGCATCTCAAACTTTATCATGAATGTGTGCAATGGTTAGGCATGTTGGAAATTCTGTTGCACCTTCACGCTTCCATAGTCATTGTACTTCCACAACGCTCTCAAATTTCAAGTACTACTTGAAATTGTGCTCCTGAATGACAACTGTGCTTTCACTATTTTCTTGGACCGTCCTACCTGTAGCACGGTGATGTGAGTATTCATTTGATTAATACCATTTTTTGAGCGAACAACACAGTACACATTGCCATCGAAATTTAATTCAACTTTGAAAAATAATACATAGATAACATCTCTTAAAATGCATATACTTTTTTTGGCACCCCCAGTATATATATGTAAAAACTGCTCACAGTAAGACATTAAATTATAAGAAACACCTTCAAAAAGAGTATGTTATATACTTGCTTACAGAGTACACAGTTTGGTACTAATTCCACAGATGCACAGAGTAAATGGTCTGTGGGGACATATTTGTCTCCACTTGGGTTTCAAAGGATGTCACAGGCAGGACTGGGAACTCAACAGAGACTTGTCGTGAGAAGAGAAGCATCACAGAGAGCACCCACTGGGCAATGTCTAAGGGAGCCTTGGGACTGCTGCTACCAAGATCCCAGAGTTGTAGAGCTACCAGTGTGCAGTGGTAGCCTGGGAGAACTATAGGCACAAGGTTCAGCTTCTGGGGGGCTGGGCATTTAAGAGTGGGGTTTCCTGAGGCCTTGAAGTCCAACAGCCACCCCAATGTGTTCAGGAGGCAAGTCCTGGGGTCAAGAAAGATTATTCTGAAGCCTTAAGATTTGATGTTGTCACTCTGTTGGGTTTTGGACTTACTTGGGACCCTTG